CCAGCCGTTTTCGAGAAATCGCCTGCACAAAATCGGTAAGAAAAAAAAACAATAATAATAATAATAAAAATAGTGGAAAAGAAACCTAAGAATAACAAGAAGGTCTTCCGCTGAAGACGGAAGACCTTAATAATAATAATAAGAAAAGTGAAAAAGAAACATAAGAATAATAGAAGGGTCTTCCGCTGAAGACGGAAGACCCTAATAAGAAAATTGAAAAAGAAACATAAGAATAATAGAAGGGTCTTCCGCTGAAGACGGAAGACCCTAATAATAAGAAAACTGAAAAAGAAACATAAGAATTATAGAAGGGTCTTCCGCTGAAGACGGAAGACCCTAATAAAAGTGAAAAAGAAACCTAAGAATAACAAGAAGGTCTTCCGCTGAAGACGGAAGACCTTAATAAGAAAAATAGTGGAAAAGAAACCTAAGAAAAACAATAAGGTCTTCCGCTGAAGACGGAAGACCTTAACTAGATGCGTTCTTGTTGCTGGGGCAACAAGCAGGTCTTCCGACCGACTTCTCTTTTGCAACCTATGCTCTGTCATCCCATGAAATAGATTTCATAATGTATTTTTTTCGTTTACATTTACAGTAGTTTCTCAACACAGATCGTGATTGTTCAAGGTATTTGACAAAATATCTCCTAATATAGCTTTAAAAAATCGGCAAAATCTTCCACACCTGTTATAAAAGAGTGAAAAGTAATTTGCAACTAAAAAAAGACAAAAACAAAGAAAAAATTTGGGGAACGCCCCGAGCGGGATTCGAACCCCCGACAGTAAGACAAAGTTTGGTTCGGTCATATCTTTGCAATAAACGTACGCATGAAAAAAATGAAAACATATATAGATATCTTTGAGGACGCTCTATAAACCCTGTAAATCTGAAAGAAAAATATTGAAAAACAAAAAAGTTGAAAAATTAGACTTTTTGAATTCACTTCCGTTTTCGACCGGAAGTAGAAACGACAAAAAATGAAGGACGTTCGGCACATCTACATGTGATGCTCATTCATGTCCATGAGTTTCAATGTCATATCTTTGGCCGTTTTCGAGAAAAGTAGTGTACAAAAATCCATTTAAAAAACACAAATTTCCCCAAAAATCGCTAATGGAAGAAAATTTTGAAAAAATGAAAAACATGTCTGGAGATATTAATCTGGTGCATCTTTCCTGTAAAAATCTTTGAAATCCGTACAGTCACAGCTGAGATATCGCCCTAGAAATGAAAAAAGAATAATAATAATAATAGGAAACCGACGGAAAACAATAAGGTCTTCCGAAGGAAGTCGGAAGACCTTAATAATAATAGGAAACCGACGGAAAACAATAAGGTCTTCCGAAGGAAGTCGGATATATAGACCTTAATAATAAGAAACAGTAGAATCACTATAAGGTCTTCCGTGAAGACGGAAGACCTTAATAATGATAAGAAACAGAGTAAAAACAATATGTTCCCCAACTTCGTTTGGGGAACATAATAAAACTATACCTTTCAATAATACTGAAAGAGGCTCTAAATAAAATATTGAAATGAAGTTAAGCCTTCACACAAGTTCAATCATATCATAATTTAGTTCGCCATGATTAAAGCATACTTTAAATGTTGGTGGGGGTATACTTGAAAGTATTGTTGCAGAGTAACAGTTGATTAGTAGAATAGTAGATTATTTTAAGCTTATTTTTAGTCCCTCCTTATAGAAAAATAATGGTAGTTTTTGTTGTTGTTGCTTTTGTTGATAATCAACTTCCTCCTAAATAATTAAGGGGATGGGGTTGGTATAACACGCTAATATGGTCTGCAAAGATATGGGCTAGTGTAAAATACACATTCTAATGCAAAAACTATACATGTAGACATGACCTTTTGATTTAGCACACAGTATTCATTACATTTCTTAATTCTTATTTTACTCTGAGTATATTTTTCAGAGAATTTAATATGAAAATTAGAACAAACAATTTCATTTTTGTAACGCCTTCTTTATACTGTATCATAATATGAAAAGTTAATTGAAGACTATTTCTTTTTATGCCGCTGTAATCGAAGATTATATCATCAATTTATTCCAAATAAGCTCAGGTGAGCATTTTGGCCAATATGCTTCTTTATCTAATTTTTTTTTGCCCCCTAAAAATTTTAGCTTTAATCAACAGGGAGTCATTTTTCTACGGGGGTCATTTTTCTTCACGTGGGTTCTGCAAATTTTTAGGGTGGTGACACTTTTTCTACGGGCAAAAGGGTCATCTTTCTACGTCGAATAATGACTGGAGGCCATTTTTCGCTGTATTCTTATGTTGGCAGTGGCAGCCCACTTTGGATATATCTCTGACTTGCTTTATATTGCTACTTATCTTTACATGACATCACGATACAAAGAAGCTCTATCTGTTATAGACAAAACAAAGCTGAGGTTAGCACAGCCACATGTAGTTTATAACAAAACTGTTCACAGAGAACACTATACTGAGGCTGTAGGTGGACAGTCCTGGTCTACAAAGTTGAGGAAGGCTGTATCACGTGATATTAAATTCGACAATGAAATAATTTATATCAGTGAATTGATACTGGAACAACAAGCCTGCATAGAGAACGTTATGCCATCTCTGTGTATCCCACCATTAGTTCAGCTACATTTCATTGAGGTCATGTGCTGCAGACATGTGGATAGAACGAGAGCTCAGACAGCATTACACGATCTACAGGATCTAGTCCATCAGGACCAGGAGATTGATATTCCTTCCCGACTCAGAGACATATCGTGGCAGATTCTGGGAATATGTCAACAGGAGACAGGGAACCTCCAGGATGCCTTATACTCATACAAACAATCTTTTGAACAATACCCATATCATGAAATTCAAAAGGTTTCAATTATAAGAATCATTATAATAATATTCAAACTTTTAGAGGTTTTTTAAAGATGTACTGAAAAACTGCATGGGTAATTCATGAATTGTCGCTTAGTAAATTAAAACATCCAAACATCGCTGTATCTAAAACTCATGAAGGTATTAGTGAATAAATAAAAATATATATGAGATTATTCGTTTCCTCTACTTAATTTTATGTTTTCATCAATGCACTGGTTATAATGTTCAGCTTTAGTTTCTAAATAAAGGAATGTAGACAGCTTCAAGTATGTTTTTAAGATATTAATTCGATTTGATTGTGGGTTTAGAGAAGACTCTAAACATTCAAATAATTTTGATGTGGTATTCAATATTATACATGAATGCTACTTTAGCTGGCATCCAACAATCAAACCCATTGTATCTCCATATCCCCTCCTCCTTACTGGTCTTTTTCCCATGAGGTAAACAGGGCTTTTCCCAAACAGCGTTCCACTCCTTAATGTTATTTGTGGTCATCGTTAACTTCAGGGTTAAGGTAGATAAAACCTCATTAAGATAATTTGTCCTCGACTTCCTGGAAAGTCATTAGACCACTTGCAATTCCATTCTGGAAAGTAAAAAGATCGACTGACTAGTAATGCAGAGGTCCGGTATAATACTGAGACCACCATATATAACATTTTCTCCTTTGCTTTTACACAATTTGGTGCCCTGACCAGGATGTCACAGTTGAAAGACCTGCCAGGGAAGAGTCTTGGTTGGTGTCGTCGGTGTTATCGTCTTTATGCAGGATAAACAGTTGCAGCTATTGTAAAAAAAAATGTACATTATCATTTTATACAGTTGATTTATTTATTCCCAGTGCTTGCTTACATCAACGAAGACCTTAAAAGAGGGAAAAAGTGGAGCTTAGTTGAGATTGGTATATAGAGCCTATGATTTTTGGTGATTTATCCTACTTTATCGACTTATTTATTCAGAAATGAATATAAAAATAGAATATCCATTTATGCAGAATAGATGGTTGCAGTCATTGCTATAAAAATTACGTAATCTACTTTTGTTGCTTATCTATATTTCTACAACGGTTGCTAACATCGATTTCCACATTAACAAACAATTGTTTGTTGATACAAAAGACAGGGAGGAAGTTCTCATCCTCTTCACCAACAATGAGGGTTAACACCAAGAAATAACCAATTTATCACCGTAGAGTAGAGTATCTTATAGAAACACTTGGGGTGTTTTGGCGTAAAGTGCAATCTTATACATGTATATGCTCTTGCCAGACTCCTCCGCATTCTGTATGAAGATAAGATGCCAAGTAAGGTTTTTTCCCATATCTATAGGTCATCTGTCCAGACCAATGCTAGGGAAGTTTGGTTAATGAGGACCTTTTCTTGTTCTAGGCTTTGTTTCGTCTTGTCTTCAAATCAATAGTTCACATAGGAATTTGATTTGAAAGAGAAACTGGGTGATACTTACATTGTGCTCCATTATAATTTTTCATGCGAGATGAATTACAATGAATTTGCATTCATTTTAAAGATACAAGTCATATAAAGTAAATACCTGTTGATTCTGAATTTGATTTGTCATTTTTTGATTCTTTTTAGTGTATATTTTGCGTAGGAAAATGTCTGAAAATAATCTATTTTTAGCATTTCACACTGTTTCTGCACGCACTCCTGTGAAAAAATAAGCATATAAAGGTGTTGTTTTTAATACCTAAACATTAAGGGTAAGTGGTCAGTAAAGAAATGTCAAGGTTTTGAAAATTTCACACAAGGACTTTTCGGATATAGGTCCCCCCTTTCTGTAAATGAATTTTTTTTCTTCTTCAGATACTTTAATATATATAGATCCCTGTACTTAGTAAACCCCTTCCCAGTCATACCTTTGTGACACTACATACATCTGTTCATATGATATAGACTTCTTCAGATCTGGCAAACAAAGGAGGGGAATAATCTGATCCTCTATAATAAATAAATAAACCAAAGTAGAGTCTGTATCGTATCGCATATCTTAAATTTATGATAACCTATCATTTTACAATAAAATAATCTAAAATTTAAAGGTTTCACAATTACTTATATAGATAGTACTGTTATCAACTATAAAGATAATACCTAAAACATCATACTATCTCGTGACTGCAGGCAATGAAATGACATAAAATGGCTTCAAACATCGCATCACAACTGTAAGTTTGATTGGTTCACATAGGTTCAATTAATAGTGAAGATTTGTATCCTTGAAACAATTTAATACACTTTAATCACGTTGTTTCGTTTTTAACGGTGAAATCCTCTTTTTTAGTTCTTTAGTGTCGGAGTCGCTATATGTGGGACTGTGTCTTTCATTGGGGACCTCTCAACAGGTGGCCATGAGAAGGGATATAGCGGATATCATCGAAAAAGTGGGTAGTCTAGTCAGATCAAGCGACATGTTCCAACGCATGGTCAGTGGAAGTTACAAAGAAGGATTCCGACTGTCGGGGTCAGATAGAGACACCATGTTTTGGCCCACTGACCACAAGGTACTTTGGAACATATCGCAGCTTCAGTTCTATAACATACACAGCGAGACTTTGATTCTCTGCGATTGTTCTGAAAGCCCACCGGGGTTCGCCTTACTTCAATTACTGACGCCAAAACTTCCGATTCTTTCATCTTGCATTACACTGAAAGGTAAACTTTACATATCTAGTTCCAAATATCGACAGCGTATGTGTTCCACAATCATTCCTAATTCTACGATACATGGACCTTGTGGAAGTGGATCTATAGGTGGTTTAGAATTTGATAACGCCCACTGTTTTGCCTCAGACTTTTGGCCTCCATCTGCCTCTTCTTGGATAGACAGATGTCACTCATGGCCCAATCCACAGGCTATATGTGATATAGTACTAAAGGGATGTCATTTTGTAGCAATAGGAAATAAATTTGGAAATCAAGAAGACCATGAATGGAGAATATCATTCGCAGTTGCAGAACAAAAACTTGTGCGTGGAATGAATCATTGTCAATTTCTTACTTATGGTTTGCTTAAACGATTCTTAAAAGAAGTCATTAACAAAGGATTAATTGATGAGAAAAAGTTGCTGTGTTCATACTACATGAAGACAGCAGTTTTCTGGGTGATACAACAAAACACGAAACTTCATTGGTTTCCACAAAATCTCCTGGAGTGTTTCTGGGTCTGCTTCAAACTCATTCTCAAATGGGTGTATGAGGGAGTCTGTCCTAACTTTTTCATTCCTCAAAATAACATGTTTCTGAAAGTCCATGGTGAAGCACAAAGAAAATTATTTGTTAGACTGTACGGTTTGTATGAGGAAGGGTTAGAATGTCTGCTAAAAAGTAGCTCCATCAATTCCCTTATTGTGAATATCCCCCATAACCCCAGACGCTCTATCAGTCCAGATGATCACACTCTCATATCCGAGTTCGCATTTGATGTTGAAATATTTAGGGAGTTATGTCATAGGGGTGAATTATACCCACATGACCTACCTAGCTGTATGATGCACCTACATGCCATGGAAAAGCTGATTGGTTCACCTCTGACACAGTATCAAGTTGTGATATTACAAAAACTTACATCCACCATTCTTCAAAGAACTGCTAATATAATACATAACATGGTTAGACACACAGGGGTGAACAAAAAATCTACATTGTTGACAAAATGTCGCGTCACATGTTGAAATTATCAGCCAAGTTTGGTTGTATTTCTGACATGCTGTACATAGCTATGTATTATTACAAGACGTATAGATACAAACAAGTTTTATCTATAACACAGGTGATAAAGGCAAAGTTAGCACAACCATACGTGATGTATAGATTTAAAGGAGATGCAGAAATGTACACTGAGGCTGTAGGAGGACAGTCATGGTCTACAAAGTTAAAAAAAGCTGTTGCATGGAATGTGGGACTTGAAAATTTTAGCGGCTACATGTACATCAATGAATTAATGCCGGAGCATTCATCTGGCATAGGAAACATGGATCACTTCGAACCGTTGTTAATAATCCCGCCATTTATACTGCTGTATTTATTAGAGATTTTATGCTACAGACACACCAACATAAAAAGAGGACAAAAAGCTCTGAATGATCTAAAGACCCTAGTTCACTATGATCAGGGACAGTTTATAGATATAATTCTCAGAGACATCTCCTGGCAGATTCTGGGGATCTGTCAACAGGTGACAGGGGACTTTCACGCTGCTCTATACTCATACCAATATTCACTCCACCAGTTGCCATATAACAAAATACAGATTGCCACAATGATCAGAATAATAATAGCAATCTATAAACTCTTAAATGTTTTTTAGTCATAAGTAATCACACGATGATGTATGACAAGAAAAAAAAAGTCGCAGAAGCAACTGATTCATGGTGGAGGATGCAGCTAAAGTGACAATAATGGAAGATCTTTGGGTAACATTCAGTTTCCTTGCGTTACATGATAAATTAACTCTAAATACTGATGAGAATCAATGATTCTGAATTTGTTTCCATTTATATCATAATTCTTAATTATTATTCTTTGTGAAAAGTTGTGAGCTGTGATAATCAAAAATAGACAAAGTATTAATGGTTCAGGTTACTGTTAAACACTTTTCATTCATGTGAACGTCATTTTGGCATAATTGGAGGCTGTCTGCTTGCTAAATACATTCTCACGTACATTAAAATTTTATAATATTTAAGATTTATATACAACAAAAACAATAGCTCACAATAATTTTGTCTCGCTTATAAATAGTTTTCTCGTGAAAATAAGGTTCACGAATATAAAGTGATATACAGTAAATTTTATTTCATAGAAATAAATATAGGATAGCTCTTGATTTGTGTTTTGATATGATTTTTATCCAACTCGTTGTGTGTTTTCTATCCACTCGCCACGGCTCGGGGATAGAAAACACACAACGAGTTGGATAAAAATTATATTAAACCACAAACCATTGGAGATTCTTTTTATCTTCTATCATTGTTCATAATAAATGTGTATTTTGTCTTTATTTCTAATTCAAAGTTCCCTTTTGGTTTACCTCGGAACCAAATAAAGTACTAGATATAATATTACGCTATATGAAATAGTTCGTACACAAATAAAAGAAAGTATGTCAACACTTATTTTTTTTTAATTCATGAATGAAAGTTTGTTAAAATAAATCATGTCAAAATTTGACAAATTAAGTCATTCTCTCCATCATGCACATTCATTTGTTTATTTACATTACGTCAAGCGGCGTAGGAATACATAGTGTTGATACGGAAACGATATCGAGCTATATCAACGGGATAAAGGTGAAAATATGTGATAAAAGATATCTGGAACATGTCTGATTCTGCTTAGAAAAACTAAAAAGTTTAAACAGATATTCAATCTTTGACAAACATAATTTTAAATTTCTGACTTAAAGTTTTCTGTCTTGAGTTTCCTCACAAAGCTGGTTTAAATAGGTCATTTGGATCTACTTGTGTTTATATGAGGATACAGTATTGAAATAGCCTTGCTGATTTTTAATCAGTAATTCTACGAGATGCATGTCAATTTCTTTTCCAACTTCCGAGGCAATACACATACAAAGATAATTCTCTGTAAATTTACTCAAAAGCGTTCGGCTGAGTTTTGTTAAAATTGTTAGGGAAAAGAACAGGCTATATTTGATCAGTAAGGAATACCCATGCCATAAGTGAGATGTGAGACATGCCGCAATATACCTTCCTCACCTGCAAATGGAGTTTATATATCTCAGTTAATTAGATACAAAAGACAATGCTCTACGTACAAACAATTTCTATAACGAGGTAAATCATTGACAAACAAATTGGTGAATCAAGAATATTAGCAGTCTCGTTTAAAGTCATCATTTTCTAAGTTTTATGGTCAGTACAATGACCTTGTCAGCAAATGCAATTTATCATTTAGTCAAATGCATACTGACGTTTTTTTTTCATACTAATAATAAGTCCATTATTAATACTCTGAATTGAAGACGGTTTTTCCGTTATTTCCCATTTATGACTAATGAGCACAAGGCGGGTGTGACCGATCAGCAGGGAATGCTTACTACTCCATGACACCTGATCCCACCTCTGATGTTGTCCTTGTTTGCTCTGCTCCTATTTTGTATGATTCATATTGTCCAAAAGTTCCTTAGAATTTTTTATGTATCCATCACGCCATTTCTTGAATATATGGTCGTACATAACTCTTGGAGAATCTCACTCACTACTGTTAATATCTTAGTGAAGAGTCGAGATTGATTGTATATTGTTTAACGTCCCTCTCGAGAATTTTTCACTCACATGGAGAGAAGAGTAAAGAAAGAGCCTTCGTAGACAATTACTGGATGCAGTTTCGGAATCAAATATAGATATGGTAGACCAGATTCATTTTGGTTTTTAGGATCTTAAAAAATTCAAAATTAACACAGGATTTTGAAGAATAACTTCCTTAGAAAGCTCACTATGATCCAGTTTAAGTTGAATTACCATATGTAGAACTGAATCCAAGTTCCTCTAATAAAAATATAATGAGCCTTATAAATGAAGACAATATTCTTACCAGCTTATTGAATTATTACATGTACATACAGAATTTAATATCCCTCAGAATTAAATAGCAGGCTGTGAAGGATCGTTGATGTACTCTTGCTGTGAGTATATATATTTTTGTACACATTGTGAAGGGAATAAATGAAGAGTTAAGTGGCACTTCTGGTATTTTCAAGCGAAAAATATCGCTTTCGTGAATATCATTTTTATTCAATGGAAAATTACAGTTACTCACATTTGATAATATGTAGCTAAGAGATGAATGTAGATTTCGGTATTAACAAACAAACAAAAAAAAAACAATTGTGTACGGGGGAAAATTCCCATTCTCTGAAACAACGATTAAGGCAGGTGTAGAGAAAGTGCGGATTTAGTTCGCCAATGAAACATATAACATAATTGCGATTAGGGATATTAAATTATTCGAATTGATTCATACCTGGTAATTATTTTATTAACAAAATATTACGCTTTAAAATTTGATCAGTTTTTTTTTAAATAAATACATGTATATGAAAAGTTATTTTTAATAATAACAATGAAAACAATACTGTTTTTAAGGATATTCGAATTGCAAAAACTATTCAAATTAACTTTTATCTAGAATTTTTATCAGCAAAATTTTACTCCATATAACTCAACCGCTTATTTATAGTTCAATGAAACTGTTTTAATAAACACAAAAATATACATCTATACCAAACACAAAAAGGAGAAAATCTCATGTCAAGCTACAGAACAAATTTTATTGCCCCATCCTTCGTTTTGTCAAATATGCTAGAAATATGCAACAGATATTTAGACAGAATGAAAGCAGAAACAGCTCTTAATGATCTACTTCAAGATCTACCATTGTTCTTGATCAGGAGATGTTTTAGATTAACGACTCAGAAACATTTCCTGACAGATTTTGGGCACATTGTATCTGTCAACAAAAGACAGGGAACCTCCAGGCAGCTCTATCCTTGTACCAATAACCTCTCAGACAAGAACCATTCAATAAAATATAAACAGCTAAGGGGATGATCATTTGATTCAAAGGAGGGTGTCAGACTTTGGCAATAAAAAATATGTCCACAAAAATATTGAAAATAAATAATCTGTTTTTGACTGAACAAGAAATAATTATCTGTCCCTGATCAGTGTTATTACACCCCCCTTTTTTGATTGTCAGACTTTTAAGGTCAGACGACACATTCCTCAAAAATATATAATTTTTCCTCAGAATTTGCCATTGAAGTATAGGTACTTAAACAAGTTTCCTCACAAAAAAAATTAGGCTACCTTGCGAGGCATTTGGCCAAGATACCATAGGGTCATATTTCTTGTAAACTCATAAGGTAATCCTCTTAATGGCTTAAAACAATTTTGGTGTACTTATATTTAAGATAGGACACAATAGATAGGCCAAATTTTCCCACAAATACAGTTTTTCTGACACTTTGATATTTTGCTCTAGGAGACAAAATCTCTCTTTATATATAATGTGAAAGAAATTAAACCACACATTTTTTGCCCATATTGTCTGAATTAAATATAGCCTTACAGACCCGTAAAATCGTAAAATCGAACACTCGACTTAAGATTGATTGATTATTGTTTTTTAACGCCGAGTCGGCAATATTTCAGCCATATTTCGACTTAAGAATGAGAAATTGATCCATTGCAAATGTTTTATAATTTTTTAATAAATAACCTTTTTGTTGCTTTAACTCAGTAAGTCATATTGATACTGGACCATTTGAGTAAAATACTAAGTTGAAATAGAACATACATAACGTCTTAATTGAATATACACATGTAAATATAAATCCTATACTTTAAGTCCTCTTAAGAAAAAATGTATTATACAAATCTATGCCAAAAATTAACAGAATGATTTGAATGGATTTCAGAATAAATGTGTAAAAATAAAGAAAATTGAACCAGTGGTTTAAGATATTCTGGCAATTGAAAAAATATTCAATGGCAAAAAACTTAAAGATTCAGTAAATTACGTCACAATATTTGACCTTTAACCTCTTGATTTGACCTTTACCCTTATAGTAAATAGAAAAAAACTCCTCATAAACGTGTCTAAATATAAGCCCTCTACCATTTATGGAAAACAAAAGTTACACTGCATATTATAACAGACTGTTACATGCTTGTTCATTGCACTTAGATAGGGTAAACACATTCCAAAATGTAAGCGCCCAAGTTACCAATATATACTATATAGGATTCTCTGATTTTTTTTCACAAAAAATGACGCAAATATGCCAAAACTTGTTATGTTTCTAATAGGGATCATTCATTGTTGTCAATATAGTAATATTATTCTTTAATTCTCCACTTAAATGTATTTTAAGAAATGAGTTAAAATAAAATCCAGGATTGTGGTGTACTACCTAAACGACATTTTCAAAGCAATGTCGAAATCAGAAGAGAATGTCATGATCGACAAATATGAATATTTTTTTTATATAATACCAAGAGATACAAAACATATAATTAAGGAACGTCTCCTTAAGTGAAGAAGAAAATAGACATTTTTTCTTGATCATATTGGAATAAATAATAATTCATATGTACTTCACCGACACGAAAATAAATGATCTGACTCGAAAATCCTTCGCTTTAAAATTAAACAGTAGTAGTCATCCCCTAAAGAAATGGGGAAATGGTAGATTACTTTCCTAAAGTGAAAATATATTTTTAGTGGGGATTTCCTTGGAAATGCATTACTCTTCCTACCAAACTTAATATATTTCACGTTTCCAAG